GTTTGTATTGAAAATCCGACCGAATTTTGTTGTTGATGCTGGCTGAGTGACGAAGATTTCCAGATTGTTGTTTCAGATTGATGAATCTGTTTCTCGCCTTCCCGGTTCTCGCTCGATTTGACATCCTCGTCCGTTCCGACTGTCTGTGGTTGAGACAATGCTCCCTAGCTAGATAAGTGAATGAAGTGACCTCTCTCAAGCCCCTCCCGTTGATGGTGATTGACGCTAGATGTTGCTGTTGCTGTTGTTGGTCGGTTACTTTCATTACCTCCGTCTTGTCTATGTTCACCTGGAGTCCTGTCTTCGCCGGCTGCTTCTTCGACCAGTTTGTCGGCCGGTTTTCGCTTGTAAGTCTTCGACTGTGTGTGACATCAAACATAAATCAACCACGCGCGAAATCCAGGTCTTCATGATTCTTCACGTCGATCCAGGATATCCCTGTCTTCTCGTTTCCCACTGTTTGACGCATAATCCAGTCCAGGAATATCATTGGTGATAGTTAATAAGCACCCTTGTCTGACTCCTCTGTTTACTCCAAACACCTCGCTGAGTCTTCCGTTGTGGATCACTTGGCAGGTGCCGTTGTCGTACAGCTGTTGAATAAGGTTGATGAATATTTGGGGTACGTCGTAGTACTCGAGTAATTTCCAAATTACTTCACGATCAACGCTGTCGAAGGCCTTCTCAAAGTCTATAAAGTTGAGGTAGAGGTTTGATCTCCATTCCATGCTTTGTTCTGTGATGATGATGCGTAGAGTTGCAATTTGGTCAGTACATGATTTGCCTTTCCTGAATCCAGCTTGTTCTGGTCGGAGTTCTGTCTCCAGTGCGTCCTTTAATCTCTCCAGGATGATGCGACTCAGGATTTTACTTGGCGTCGATAGGAGCATGATTCCTCGCCAGTTCTTGCAGAGTGAGGCGTAAGTCGCCCTTCTTTGGTAGTTTCACGAGGTAACCTTTCCTCCAGTCAGTAGGCACCTTTCCCTCCTTCCAGACCTTTTGCAATAATGGAGTCAGCATGTCTGCTGTCGTCTCTGGGTCCGCTTTCAGTGCTTCAGGGGGTATTCCATCTGGTCCGGCTGCTTTTCCAGCTTTCAGAAGCTTGATTGCGTTCAAGACTTCAGCTCTCGTTGGAGGATTGGTGTCAACTTGCAGTTGTGTGCGCGCTGTTGTTGGTATTTCTGGACGGGTTGCAGGTGATGGTCGGTTCAAGAGTCCTTTGAAGTGATCCGCCCATTGTTTAATCTGTTTTTCTTCCTTGGTAATTGCGTTCCCTTGGCTGTCTTTTATAGGTTTCGCTTGTGTTGATCTCTTCCCGGATAGAGATTTGGTTATCTGATATAGTGTCCTCAGGTCCCTTTTGCCTGCTGCCTTTTCAGCTTCAGTAGCTAGATTGTCGTAGAATCGTCTTTTGTCCTTCCTAGCACTTTTCTTCACTTCTTTGTCCAGTGCTTTGTAAGTTGAGCTCATCGTCTCCTTCTCCTGTCCGTCCTTGCATTGAATCATTTTCTCTTTCACCATTCTCCTCTCTTCTATTAATTTCCAAGTGTCCGTTGAGAGCCATTCCTTGTCTTGTCTCTTCTTTCTTCCTAGAACCGTTGAACACGTTTCGTTGAGAATCGCCTTCAGAGACTTCCAATGTTCTTCCACGCATGATTCTTCAGTGATGTCGCGTAGTGTTTCCTGCTTTGCTCTGACAGTTGCAGTGAAAGTGTCTTTTGTGGTTGTGTCCTTCAGTAATTGAGTGTTGAACTTGCATTGTGGCCTATCCCCAGCTATCCTCGAGGCTTTTAGTTTCACCTTGAAAGTCCCTTCTACTAGATAGTGGTCTGAACCCACATCTGCTCCTCTCCTTGACCTTGTGTCCAGTAGGCTCCGTCTCCACTTTCTTGAAATTGAGATGAAGTCTATTTGGCTTTTGGTGTTTCCATCTGGTGAAATCCATGTCGTCTTGTGTATATCCTTGTGTTTGAACACACTACCACCAATCACCAAATCATTGAAGGCGCAGAAGTCTGAGAAGAGTTCACCATTGTCGTTCATTTCACCGAGGGCCTCACGACCCATGGTGAGTTCTCTTCCTGTGTTGTCTCCTCCCAGCTTCGCATTCATGTCGCCCATCAGGATTTTGATATCGCCATTTGGGACGTTGTCCATTATTGCTTGTAGTTGTCTGTAGAACGCCTCCTTCTTCTCTTGTTCTGAGACGTTTGTAGGCGCATAGCATTGAATGACTGTAACTTTCCTTCCTTTTGAGTTGAACCTGGCTGTCATTATCCTGGAGGAGATTGGTTCCCACTGCATGAGAGCTTTGGTTGCTGTTGGTGACATCATGATGGCCACTCCCTCGGTGTGCTCATGGTTGTCCTCTGGGTGGCCGGAAAGATTACTGTCTCTCCAGTAGGTAGTTGGCACCTTCCAGTTCCGTTCCATCTGCTCTCGCAGATTCCCAACACTTCTATTCTGTACCTTCTCATTTCAGCGGCTATCTGGGCAGCCTTTCCAGTTTCGTACATTGTGCGAACATTCCAGGTACCCATCCTTACTTTTGCTTTCATCGAAAGAAGGCACATCGGCTGACTGGCTTCCCGAAGGCTTTCACCAGCCTGCGTCATTTCACTTCCCCGATTCCAGCGAAAAGTAAGGCTATTGCTTATGTTTTTAGAATTTTTAATATATTTATTCGTTGAAGTTTCTGTAGCGATTTGGTTGTTTTACGGGGATGGAGTTGCTAGCACCACGCCACAACCCTTACTCTTTGTCCGAGTATGGGACCGGCTGGAAAACTAGCAAGCTAGCAGTCTAGGCGAGGTTACCATTACCTTTAACAGCCACGAATACGTTCCTCACAATCATCGAAGGACTTCCAACCCTTTGACGCAGGATACGCATCGCCTCATGATATCCTTCGCTTCCGGGGCATGAACTTACAGCACTGTGTAGCTCTTGAAGCAACTCCAGTGCAGTATCTCAACGAATACATTAACTTCATTTCGTCATTCATTGCGAACCAACTCAACATGACTTCAAATTCCTTTACAAACTGTGGATGGTCACCTACGTTTCTGTCAAAACACCAAGGCTCAAATTTAAAAACTTTTAAATTTCTATTGTCCCTAGACAGCGAAATATGGACGTCAATCTTGTCATGCATAGCATCACACACATCATTACAATTAACAGGCAACTCAGCATTACTTAATTTCCTCTCTGCTTCCAAAACGCTTTGTCCTTTCTTTGACGCAGGCATCACTGAACTTGACCAAAAAATCCTTCCAAATAACACGTGCCCAAAGAAGACGGGCAGACGTGAGGAAAGATGAAGTGACAACAAATAAGACGAATGATTCCAGGAGAATTATCGGAAACTGTCCAGGTCTTACTACACTGGACCTCACGCTATCCCTTGAAGACTTTCAGGAATTATGCGTAATAACCAACACGAAAAACAGGGCATAAATTGGTGGCTGAAGAACCGCTTATCCTTGCACCAATACAGAGCACCATGAATTGATCGTCCAATCGTCAACTACATTGACTTGGTGCCATTAACTAGTGGCCTCGGTGACAGTTGATTTTACCGTAAAAATTAATTCAATGAATTTTAGCGGCTAAACGTATTGACGTTCACCCACAACTTCTATAGTATTCGTTACGCACAGAGAAAACGCAAAGCTAAACGCCAAAATCTATCGTCCAAATTACGACGTATACTTCAGGACCTAGTTGGAGTGAGAGGTGATTGCTCAACTAGCTAAGGATCGTGCACTAACGGACAAACGTAACATAGTGGCGTGGAAGCTTGACCGCAAGCCTCCAGCTAAACAAATTGACTCAAACTGGAGGAGTCAGAATCCAGTTTTTAGTGACGGCGGCTAATAATTCTGGGGAATTACGCACTGCTACAGAATAATCGGATAGTACAGTTGGCCAAGGAGTTCTTGAATCCTCCAGAGAATAGGCCCCGGTAAAACGTATTAAGAGAACCACCCAATATGATTTCTAGAACATGTCATTAATTCAGTGTGTGGTATGCGTAAGTGAAGAATACGCCTATATTTTGTGGAACTTTCAGTATGTTGAACAAAATGGCTCATATTCCTCGAGCCCATGAGAAAGTTACACACTGTTTTCACTGTGAATAGCTTTGACCCAATATCCCATGAACTTTTATAATACATTATTCGGAGCAAAGCGTCATGACACAATTATGATGTAATTTTAGTTGATTTTGATAGTGTCCAGCGTCAGGTTGCCTACGATACTGGAATACGGTCATTGAACTTGGAATATATTCCTTGTTGACAAAAGACCAAGAAAAGTGGTGAATTTCAGTTTCTTCCAATCATTTGGCCACTCATTGCGCTGCATACAATGGACAGCAAAAAATATGTTCCTTGGTACAACTGGCTCATCAAATGAGGGACACGTCAAAGGAACTCAAACAATCCTACACATAATGCCATGGGGAAATAGCAGAGCTAATCAGACTACAGTGAGGTTCGGGGAATGTCAGTGTACCTGATCTATCACCTTTTTCATCTCATCAAGCCTACACATCTTGTAGAATACAGTCGTGTAAGGTCATTTAGCACTGTGCTAAAGGAGTTTAGTGGCGAAGTAGAGTATATGATTCCTGAGATCTATTGTCAGAACGAAGTATAAACATTCGTGGAACTTATTAGATATTGGGGTGCACAATTACATATGAATGATAGGTAGGGTTTAAACATAAGAGACAAGCTTCTGTTTTCAGTCAGGATATTCTGACCTAGTTTTCAATAAGAAAGTGTTATTTAATTCACTGCCCATCTGCAGTTTTTTGCAAAGAGCAAAGTAGAATTGCAGGGCTAACTTAGTAATAAACGGTTTAAACCATTTGCTTTGTTTTACTTGTCGAGTTGATAGAGGTACCACATTGGCGGTCAGTGAACATCGGTCAGGCGTGACGAGGTGAGTTCATCGTTTTCTCATGATGTTACGTCAATTTATTAATAGCAATGGGTGCTTATAAGTTTATGCAAGAGCTGTATCGACGTAAGCAGTCCGATGTTATGCGCTACATTCAGCGCATGAGGTGTTGGGAATATCGTCAAACCCATGCTATCGTCCGAGTAACACGGCCATCCCGTCCTGATAAGGCGAGAAGAGTTGGCTACAAAGCTAAACAAGGATACGTTATTTATCGTATTCGCATTCGTCGAGGTGGCAGGAAACGTCAGGTTCCGAAGGGAGCAACTTACGGCAAACCAACGAATCATGGTGTGAATCAACTAAAAAATCAGCGTTCAATCCAAGCAGTTGCTGAGGTAAATTATTGAATGAATTAAGATTATTCTCTAGGAACGTGTTGGTCGTAAATGTGGTTCCCTTCGAGTCCTGAATTCCTATTGGGTTGGCGAGGACAGCACATTTAAGTTCTACGAAGTTATCTGCATAGATCCAGCTCACAAAGCCATCAGACGAGATCCCAGCATTCGATGGATATGCAAAGCTCATCAGAAACACAGAGAGATGCGTGGTCTCACTTCAGCTGGCTACAAGTCCAGAGGACTTGGCAAGGGACATAAATTCCATAAGACAATTGGTGGTTCTAGACGCGCAGCTTGGAAACGTCTCAATACTGTTGAAATGAGAAGAAAACGCTAATTATTTTACTTTGATTACATATTTACGGTACATTAATGGTTTTCATTGATTAACGTGGGGTTGAGATTACGCGTGTAACCATATAGTAGGCTCAAGAAACCAGTGATTGATGGAAGTACGTACATTGTATAAATGATACTTGAAGCTGTTTAAAGCTTTTTTGCCAATACTAGTTAACGTTACAAATACAAACATCTTGTACACAGCTGGAAGGTTTCATGTAACCGGCATTTATACCTAGGTTTTGGTGCATTGTCAACTGACTTGGTGTGAAAGCTGTACTCACAGCTTTTGTGTAAATCGTGCGTCCTTCAGAAGTTCAAACTGACGGTGTAGTGGAGATTATCTTGAGCACAGTATTAATAGGAAGTTCTGATACGCAATGTCTATTGGTATAACTAGTTGATATATAAGTTCACATTTTATACAAACCTGACTTAATATTTAAACCAAGTCTTATAGAATACAGGGTAAACTAGTAATGCGGTTGCGTAACTTGAGTTGACAATTATTTCATGTACCTTCTTTTTTTAGTTTTTGTTGCACGTGTTTTACTCCTTATAACCTAGTCGTAGCTATTCCCTTTCTTTTCACGGTTAACATTTTAATAGTTTCCGTAATCACTAGGCTTTCTAAGAAGGTGCTTCACTTGTGAGATGACAGGATCAAAAAACAGTGAGGGTGCACTAAGGTGTACAGAAAATATCTACTGAGTATCTTGATGCAAACGCATGATCCTGGTGGGGGACTTTTTTGATTCATCATGTCAGTGTCCCCTAACATTTTTTTCTAAATGTTTCATTGTAGAATTAGCCACACTTTCCCAGTCACCTCTTAGTATAATTTTCTCAGATCTTGATAAGTCACCGTGCCCATTGAAAATTCCTCCAAGACATATATCGCTGAAGATTTACGATGAATCAACTGAACATTTCCATCTATTAAAACTAGGTTCCACCTTCAAGATGTTATCAGAGCGTCTTCCCATGGGTGACAAATGTCAACCGGTTGGTGAATGAGAAAAAAAATAGATAACGTGACTAAATTGATATAGCTTGCAGATCTGCTGCGAACTCTGATAATCACAGTTCTGTTATCCTGTTCGGTTAGTTGAGACCAGGTTATATTCGGTGTGTCAATTTTGTTACTAGTCTTACTCACACCCGGTGAGCATCTAAAAGCCTTCTTTTGACCGATATGTTACTGAAATGTCACGTTGAGGGCTGATTATACAATTCTAAAGTATGAAATGCTCGAAAAAGGATCGAGCAAAGTTGTGATGCTGACTGAGTTCCAACGCAGACGTGCAGCAGCTCAGGGCAAAAGAAAAAAACAAATACAAGTGAACGGTAATGATCAGAAATTTGCATAGGAGGAGGTTTTGAGATAATACGTGAGGTCAGTACGTCTGCTTCTTAGAAACAGGCTTTAAGTCTCGTCGCTGAGGTTATAATGCAAACAGTCATCGCAATTTCTCTCTCAGTCAAGCTTTTGGAGTAAAATTATGTCATGAGAAGATAGTCCATACAGTATTGCCTGACTGACATTCGGTCAAACTAGGCGAGATTTAAGCCGCGTCTGTGTAAAATAGTTGTGTTGGAAAACTAGCGGAACCACAGAGAGACTTCGGCAATGTGATATACTTCAGTTTTACCCATAAACGATGGGAACAACGTGGCGAATTTACCCCCACAGGATGTTAGTCACACTGCTGCAGATTTTATATTGGACTGTTTAATGGCAGTAGAGCTACTACCCAGGTATACCTTCGAATTTACCACTTATTGTTTTGTGGGGTAGACTTATGTATAAGATATGATGTTTGCGTAAGACCATGCCACCACCAAATTAACTCAATGAGGTATTTTTCACCTAGATGTACGATTGTGTATTTTTCTGGAGTTAATATCTGGTTAGAAAATAGTTGTGAGCTTCCACAGTAGTGGTGATGAGAGGATTAGTTAAAAGAGATTACCCCGAGTTATCATGAAGAAAGAACAGGAAGGTTATTCATTATATACTCCAATAAGTGCCTTCCGAAACAGGATTGTTTATATTAGTGTGTTGGAAAATCAGACTAAAGATATCCCCAACTATACTGCTTCGAAATCTTTGTAACTAAACTCGCTGACCTTCACTGGCTGAAAATTGTTATCGACTTGTGTAAGAGGTAATAAGATTTCATGTTCATTCGTAATGATTGGATGTATGGTTTAAACTATTATATTCAAATAGATGAGTGGGTATTTGTCTTCCTTCTTGACTGAAATATACGTCAGATGCGTGTATTCAAAATGTAAGAACAACTGTAGTTTATGTGCGTGTACAATAAATGGGAGTGTGATTGTTGGCTGTAGGTGATAATGCAATGGTTCTCTAAATGTTACTAAAATTCTGGTGCTTAGCGAAGTCATAGATGATAACAAAACTGCCAATATACTTATGGTAAGTGAATTTATCAGTGAGTATGGATAGTTGTATCTATAAATCCTAAAGGTCACATCTGACCAGCAACTGTAGGGAACTGTGGGTAGTGTATACAATGGTCGAAAATGCATACTATTGTGATGACGTTCCAATGCATTGTCATCCTTTTTAAATGACTAAAGAATTATCATAGACGTGACGTGGGTTGTGGTGGTTTAAATTAGATCACTCGGAATATGTAAATGTATTAAGAAGTCCGTAATCTGGTGAGCAATACCATTCAGATGAAAAGAATCCTTGAGACAGTAAATGACAAGAAAATACAACAGCATGTAGTTAGATTCTTCCTGTAAACACGCCTTTCAGAAGCAATAAGACGTAAAATACGTCTTGAGTCCAGAAAGTAGACTTGTGGGGGCAGTCACAGTTAATTGTAGTTCTTTGTTCTCGGTCCTGTGACTGCGGTATATTTGGTGTCCAACAGGTGCTTACAGATCATACTACGTTATAACTGTTGATCTCAATCCCTTTGGGTCGTAGTCAGTAGAGCGAATAACGACAATTTTGTCTTACTGGTGTTTTCACATCGCCGTGAGCACGCAGATTTGTAGTCACAGGTGTCAACTGGTACTATTTCGACTGTGGGTGAGTTGATTAGGCAGTTTTTACAGTTTGTCTTAACATTTGGTTGGATTATATCCGGTGCCTAACTGAGTGGGGATGGTAAATCTTAATGCGAACAAAACAAATAGTCTTTCTCTCATTGGTCTTGTTAACTTGGTTAAGCTTTGGAATAATGTTGACATTTACTTACGTAGTATGTTCCAGTGATTGTTGGAAGGTTTGTGTGAACATTGCATAGATTTACGCTTTTCTGTTGTAGTGATTCCAGGTCACGTTTAAAAAAAATATTTCCTTATCTCCCGTGCCTATAACAGCCTTTGAATATTCCTGCAAGTTGTCATTTAATTTGGAACGATCAGCTGACGCTGTGAAGCTACCATGTACTATCATCATGTATTTTATCGCTCTGGGACAAGGAAATTCGATAGGTGAACTTTTCTTTAGATGCGCTTAACTGTGCTCGTTAATACAGTATCAGTGGACCAGTAAGAAATATCAATGTCCGGTGAATAAAATTAAGTATGATGCCTCCTGCAACTTGCCCAAAAATACCACCAGCAGCATGCACAGAACTGCCAATGGACACCTGTCCTCCAAAGAAAGAAGAAATCCTAAATGCGGTCAAGCCACTGAAGTCCAGTCGGGAAGACAGCAAGACGAGATTCTATTTCCCCCCGAAGCACTGAAAACGGACCCAGGAACTGACCGGATATGTTGACACCTTTATTGCAATACGTTTTCAAAGAAGGAAAGGTACCTACCGATTGGAAGAAAAGCTACCTCGTCAAACTGCCAAAGAAGGACGACTTATGCATCACTCTGCGAGAACTGGCGCGGAATAATGCTGTTGTGCACGCCAAGTAAAATACTAAGTCGCATCATCCTAGAGAGAATAAAGAATCCACTGGATGCAGAATTCCGCAAGACCAGAAAAAGCTGGATTCAGGAAACGCGAATCATGTGATCAAATTGCAACTCTACTCATCGTCATCAAAGATCAAAGCATAAAATGGCAGTTGAACCTCTACCTCAACTTTATCGATTTTGTAGAGGCCCTCGACAGCGTTGACCGAGAGGTAATTTGGAAACTGCTTCAACACTACGGCGTGCAATACCCAAGTCTTTATCAACCTCAATCAACAGCTGGCTATATGACGATGACACGTGTCACGTTATCCATAACAGAAAACTTAGAGGGGCGTTCGAAGTATATACACAAGGCTGCCTATTATTACTGATGATATTCTTAATTGTGTTATACAGCATTATGCATCAAACTGTGCGTCGAAAGTGAAGAGACAGGAATCCGCTGGACCACCGATAAGAAGGCCTTGGAAATTCTGGATTTCACAGATGATATATGTCTAATGCCACAAAAACTCCAGGAATCAGAGGAAATGCCATCGGGTTGGTGTAAATCACTGATTATCCCCATATACAAGAAGGGAGACAAGTCTTCCCGTGATAATCACAGGGGGATTAGCCTGACTAATATGGTATCTAAAGTCTCAGGCTCAATACTGGTGCGTAGACTAGCTGGCGCTCGGGAGGCATAAACACGAGAGAACCATGCAGGCTTTAGACCAGGAAGAGGGTGTATTGATCATATCTTAATCCTTCAACAGATTCTGGAACATAGGCATTCTTAGAATAAAGCAAGAACAACAGTGGTTTGTGCAGAATAATATGGTACCATAATTTATTTCGTTGACTTCTCATCAGCTGCTCTTACAGCCTAAATAAATTATAAGGTTTACGTACAGAAAAGTTTTAACATACTTGCAAATTTTACATGTTAGTTGACAGAAAGTTCAACAATTAGTGAACAGTGCTCAGAAAATCGCGCTTATATAGTTTTTACACAGGCAGTTCAAGTCAAAATAAATGTATGCCTACACTGGTTAGGGAGTTACGTAATAACGACGAGAGAGGAGTAAGATGATGAGTAA